CTTGTCTTGTCACTTTGTCCTTCTCTTCTTCCTCTGTTCCCTTGTTCATGTTCCACCTGAGTCATTTGGCCAGAGTGCAAGGAATCTGATAGTTAGGGAGTGCCCACTGCTGGGCACCCTTTCTAGGGAATGAGCATTAAGGATCCAGCTCAGCTGGTACAATTCAGACAGGCAGCCCTTGGCTGGATCTGGAGTACAACTCTCATCATAGCTTACTTTCCCAGTTCTGGTACATACCTTATGGAGACACAGGAGCAATGCAAGCAGGGGAGTGCTAAAACCAACTCGTACCAGCTCATAAGAGCCAATTGTTAAATTTTCACTGTGATCATGTGCACTTTGGAAATTAGCAAATGCTACAAATCAGGGCCCGATTTGTTGTTTTGTTGATGGTTTAGACTTAAGAAAGTGATGGAGAAAATGTTAGTAATCTTTATTATTGTGTAAATAAGTGTTACAGAAATAATCTTTTTGATAACAAGGATTAAATTTAAAATTGCATACCTTGTTTTGGAGAGCTGATTATTAAACAAGACATAACACATACATTGCTATGGACATTCATGATTTTATGTACCACAGTGATGATAAAGTAGGGGAAGATGCCAAGGTCAAACACTGGCTGCCACAGCTGCACCACTGCTCCCAACCTCAACTGATCCCCTTTCCTTCCTACTCCCAACTCACCCTCTCATGGTTTTCTCATCTGTATAATGGGGATAATATCTATGAGAACTTTCACCAAACACTTTCTTACCGCCATGTTTAGGCTACTTGGAGCCAAGAGACTTCAGCTCCCTTCCCACTCTCTGTTTCTTTTTCAACAGCTGTCCTTTACTTCCTGTAGCCTGTACATCTGGTGCTGTATATTATGCCTGGTGTGAGGGGCCACCAGCACAGTCTTCTAGTTCTAGACCATGTAGCAGCCCATTTTCCCTACCACACTGACATGGGAGTTTTCTTTCCCTCTCATCTCTCCTCCTGTGGAGCAGGGCCAACACATCAAGAGAGAGAAAGAGAAAAGTGGCTATTCACAGCGAAATAGAGGACTGCTGAGAATGACTTGTTCTGAGAATACATAATCCATTCCCTAATAGCTGATAATAACAGCTAGCAATTGTATAGTTCTTTCTGATTTGCAAAGCACTTTACATACATTGTCTTTTGATCCTTACACTAGTATTCAGTTGGGAGCTAACAACTCTGAGAAATTGTAACCATTATTGTACCTATGATAAGAGATAAGGAAACTAAGGCTGAGGAGAGGTGACATGACTCTCCCAAGGTCACAAACTAGGATGTGTCTAGGGCAGAATTTGAACTCGGGTCTTCTTCACGCCCAAGTCCAGCACTCCATCTGCTACACTACCTAGCAACCCCAAGCTAATCAAGAATTGCAGAAAATTGGTAGCCAGTCCTATTCTGGGGTACAGCCAATGACTTCCTCGTTACCTCTGAGGAAATAGCTGTGTAACCGTGCTTAAACGGTCTTCAAGGAGCAAGCAAACATGGCAGGGGGCTAGAATGCCTGGCTTGGAATCAGGAAGACTTGAGTTCAAATTTGACCTTAGAAGCTTATACGACGCTGAGTAGTCTAAATAGGATAAGCTTCTGGGCAGCTCACTTAACCTCTGTCTGCCTCAGTTTATCATCTGTAAAATGGGGATAACAATAGCATCTACCTCACAGGCTTGTTTTGAAAATCAAGTAAGGTAATACTTAAAAACAAATAAAAACATATCAAAGAGAAGAATTTTGAAAAAAGTTGAGAACAACATGTGGGGCAAAGTTGGGTCTGGGTTCAAGAATAACAAGGGGTGAGGGGAGGCAGTGTGTTTGTAGAACAGAATCATAGCCTTTAAAAGCTGGACATCATGGTAAAGCTCAATCAGGACATTTTATACTGCAGAGAAGCAAAGCCTTAGATTCCTCATCTGCAAAATGAGGGAGGGAGCTTGGGCCAGAAGACCACTGAGGTCTCTTCCAATACTCAGTCAATGATCCTATGACAATATAGCTACCTTAACATCAATATAAATTCGTTTAATGAATGGACAGAGTCAAAGATGCAATCTGTCACAAAATTAAAGCGCTATCACTGAGTGGTGAAGTTCTTGAATAAGTTTATTTCACATTCTTTTGTGGTGGATTGTAAAAGATACTGGCTTTGGAATGATAAAGATCTGGGTTCAAATCCTGACTCTGGGGACTTTGGACAGTATTATTATTATTATTATTGATTGATTTGTATAGCACTTTGAGATTTGCAAGGCACTTTACATGCCTTATCTCACTTGAGCCTCACAACAGCCCTGCGAGTTAGGCCCATTTCATAGATGAGGAAACTGAGTCTGAGAGAAGTTAGATGATGTTCCCATAGTCATACAGATAATATATGTTAGAGGGAGGATTCATGCCTGGTCTAACTGAATCCAAGTCCAATACCAACCATTATTCCATGTTGAACTTAACTTCTCTGAGCCTCAGTTTCCTCATCTGTAAAAAGAGAGCATTGAATTAGATGATCCCCAAGAGCTCTCTATCGCCAATTAACTCTGTGACCCCCTAAAGCAATGAAGTGAAAGCTGTTATTCCCTAAGGATTTCCTAGTAATTTGGGGCATCTCACTCAGTGGAACATCCATTACTTTCCTTTTGAAGATGAGATTAGAATCTTCTTTCCTAAGAGTCGTCTTAGAAGCAATTTTCGGACCAGTAATTGAAGTCTGAAGGATTTGCAGCTTTAAGGGACCCTAGAGGTCATCTGGTCTGACTCTGTTTTGTAGGTGAGGAAACTGAGGCCTGAGGGGTAAAGCTCTGTTTTGGGAGATGTCTTTTCTCATGATCATGGGATTTAGCTCCAGGAAGAATGTGACTACAGGCAGGTCACTCAACCTCTCACAGTTTTCTCATCTGTAAAATGGGGGTGATATCTGTCATAATCGACTCATGAAGTTGTGAGGATCAAATGAAAATGAATATAAAGTGCTTTAGAAATCTTATAACACTCTATTAACATTAGCTATTATCATTATCCACTCCGACCTGCCTCGTTTTATGGGTGGGGAGCCTGGTCCTCCAAGAGGTTAAATGATGTGCACGCCGTGCCATCGCCACTTGTCCTGACTTTTGTCTTGCCACTGGACTTGGATGACCCAGAAAGAGAGAGTGAGGTTGATGACTTTGTGCTGCTGTGCCTTACTTAAATGCAATTCAGGCCCAAGTCAAGACATCGCCCTGTGACATCATCGTCTTAGAAAATGAAGGATGAACAAAGGTGGAAAGAAAGGCTCTCGAGGCAGAGGACCTGGGTTCAAATCCCATCTCTGACACTTAACTTCCTACGTGGCTTTAGGCTAGTTAGTAACCTTTCCATAAATGAGGAGGTTGTATTATGTGGCCCATTCTGCCTGTAAACCTTCAATCCCATGACTTGCCTGCGGCCACCTAGCTAGGAAGTGCCTGGGCCAGCCCTTGATCGTGTTCTTTTTACTCCAGTGAAGCAGTGCAGTCCTCCAGCCCCGGTGAGCCTCTGGCTGCTCCCCGGGTATGCCTCGTTAGAGGAGTGTGTGGTGTGTGTGTGTGTGTGTGTGGTGTGTGTGTGTGTGTGTGTGTGTGTGTGTTTGTGTGTGTGTGTGTGTGTGCTTCCCCACGTGAGGACCGTCTTCATTTGTATTCGTCTTCATTAAGACATCAGCCTGACTCAGACCCAGATCTTGCTGGCTGATTTCTCCCCAGTGCTCTGACACACCAGAAGGATTTGTTCCATCCAAAAGGGGTGAGGTGCCTTCTGGAAGCTAGCAGCCACGACATCCCCTTCGGGGGATTTGGTCCGGGCAGCAGTTGTGGGATGGGTTCCAGCTGGGCCTTTAGTCCCCTCAGTGCGGTTTCTTGTGCCTACCAGAATAGCCAGCTTGATGCTGCTATCTATAGGAACGTAAGTGTCTCCCTTGATCTAGCATAGAGAAGGAAGGAGGGAGTTCCTCCTTTGGCCTTCTGCATCTGTCTCTTGGGTGTGTGCCATCCCTTCCCATGGCCCCAGGCAGCTTGGCAACACTGTGAGTTATGTTAGAGATATAATAATGAATTATACAATGTATTATACATAATTAATTTATAATAAAACACGCATAAGATGGTTTAATTTCTCCAAGTGACTGAGGCAGCGCCAGCTAGATTCTGCTGGAATGTCTGCCCTGGCTGCAGTGACTTTGTTTCCTGGTTTCAAAGGTAGGGCCCTGGGCAGGGGTGGAAGCTGGCTCAGACAGCTATCAAGTAGTAAATTCCTTCCTGGCCGCTTGTTGGAATGTTGTTGCCCAGTCTTTTTCAGTCCTATCTGACTCTTTGTGACCCCATTGTGGAGTTTTTCTTGGCAAAGATACTGGAATGGTTTGCCATTTCCTTCTCGAGCTTATTTTACAGATGAGGAAACTGAGGCAAACAGGGTTAAGTGATTTGCCCAGGGTCACACAGCCAGTATGTATCTGAGAGTCTTCATGACTCCAGGCCTGGCACTCTATCCCCTGTGCCACCTAGCTTCTCATTGTTGGAACAAATATCATCTAAGGAAGTCTCCTTTACTGCTGCTGATCCCTAATGACTTTGGCTGCCTTGACCTGAACCTCTAGGAGATTGAGACAGCATGATGCTGTGGGAAGAGTCCTGGATTTGGAGTCAGGGGACCTGCTATTTATTACCTATGTGACCCTGGGCAAGTCACTTAACTCTCTGGGCCTCAGTTTCCTCATCTGTAAAATGGAGGGTTTGGACTGGATGAATTCTGAGGTCCCTTCCAGCTTCCAATTTCTGTCCTCGTGATCTTCTGTTTTCCTTTGTCTCTTTCATTGCTTGGATTTGAACATCCTGGTTGTTGATTAAGCTCCTTGTGTAGTGGCTGGACGTGTTTTAATCGCATCCTATTTATATGGGAAAACCTGCCTGGGCCCCCATCCTTCCCAAGATCAATGGCTTCCCTTTGAAGCTTGTTGTCCTGGGTTTCAGATGCTGCCTAGGATGCTGCTGCTGCTGCTGCTGCTGCCAGGGTGGTTCCTGCCCCACAGTGAGGGGTCCCAGAGAGCTGAGCCCATGTTTACTGCAGTCACCAGCTCCGTCCTGCCGCCCGACTACGACAGCAACCCTACCCAGCTCAACTACGGCGTGGCTGTCACCGACGTGGACCACGATGGGGACTTTGAGATCGTGGTGGCAGGGTAGGTGCCGTCTTTTTTGCGCCTTCTACCGAGGGTCGTCTGTTTGCCTTTGCAGAGAGAGCTCTGTAGAAACAGTCAATCCACAGCTGACTGAACCCACTGCAAACTTGGGTGCCCCGGCTCATTGAACCTCCTTCTCTTTCCACTCTGACTCCCTGGGGGTGGAGGCTGCTGGCATTTCCTTTTTGTCTGGGCAGCATAGGTAAATTTATCCTTCTTAATACCTGCTCTCCAGCCTCCTGGGATTTCTGGAATTGTACTGGGCCCAAGGAAGGTGGTTGCTGTTCAGTCATTTCAGTCATGTCCAACTCTTTGTGACCCCATTTAGAATTTCCTTGGTATTGTAAACAAAATTCCGAGAGACAGTTTCTGGATATTAAAGAGAAATCTATTGATGAGACTAGCCAATAGTAAATAAACTAACGGTCAGTGGTTTCTCTTAGTAACCAAAGGCCGAGAGGCAGGGTCTTGAGTCATCTTGAATGCCCACCTGTCTTCCCGACAGCACATTCTTGAGTCCTCCCCGATGAGAAAAACGGCAGCCCTTATTGGCAGACACTTTATGAGGATATGGGCTAAGGGTCCTCAGCTCCTCCTTAGAATGAGGGGAGGAATGAGGGAATGGGCTTGGTCATGAGTTTTAGCAGCCTCCAGCAATCCGGGCAAGCAAAACCTTTCCGGATCAGGATCTCTCCAGCTTTACTTCTCCTCCGTGAGCCAGGCCTCCCCCAACTCTAGTGAAGGGAGCGAGGTCACACAAATGGCTCTTGGTAACTCTTGGTAGTGAAACCAGCTCAGTGTAGCTTTGGTTTATGGGATAGAGAATCCCAGGCCAGGTGCTGGGAGGGGCTGGTATGTAACCACATTCCTCAGCTTCTGGAAATGTTTTTTCTATGTGAGCTAAAACTAAGAAGTGGGGATTTTAAACAGAGAAGGGACTATTACAAATTAATATTAATAATCAAATGATAGAGCATTAAATTAATTTTGCTTATTGGTAAAGATACTACAGTGGTTGGCCATTTCCTTCTCCAGCTCATTTTACAGATGAGGAAACTGAGGCAAGCCATGTTAAGTGACTTGGCCCAAATCACTCCAGTATCTTTGCCTATTTGTAGATATGAAAGGAAACTTAGAAGCCATCTAATCCTATCCCTTCATCTTACAGATGAGGAGGCTGAGGCCCATAAAAGTGAAGTGATTCACCCAAGGGCACATGGGTAGCAAATGTTGCTGAGTCATTTCAGTTGTGTCCAACTGTATGAGACCTCGTTGGGGTTTTCTTGGTAGGGAAACTGAAGTGGTTTGCCATTTCTTCCTCCAGTTTATTTTACATATGAGGAAACTGAGGCAAACAGGGCAAAGTGACTTGCCCAGGGTCACACAGCTAATAAGTGTCTGGGGCCAGATTTGAACTCAGGAAGATAAGTCTTCCTGACTCTAGGCCTATCACTGAGAAAGATACCATTGTATTTATTCTGGGTGGGTGAGAAGGGTAAGTCAGGTCTCCCTCCACCCATACATGCTGCCCTTGTATGTGCATGTGTATGGATGTAATCTTATGCATGTATATTTTTACATATACATCTATGTACAGATATACATATACATATATGGAGCCTTCTTCTTCTGCAATAATGGTGGCAGAGTAAGAGAAAAGAGGGCAGAGGGTGCTAAGAGTGCCAGTTTTGGTTGGGACTGTGTATAAGCCTTACTCTGAGCTGGTCGGACATAGATAAGAGCTACACGAAGTGAGAAGGTGTGGACAAGTTATCATGTGCATTGTTGTAAGGAACATTCGAATAGGTGAGATCAAAGATGGGGGCAGTTGGAGGAAGGAAGAGGGGAAGGGGGAGTGAGAGGAGAAGAGAAGAGAAAGGGGGAGGGGGAAAGAAAGAAGAGAGAGAATGCATGTACACACACATACACACAAGAGGCAGGTGGTAAAGTGGGTAGAGACTCAGCCTCTGAGTTAGGAGAGGACCTGGGCTTAAGTCCTGCCTCAGTGGCACCTTAGTATGAACCATGGGCAAGCTGCTTAACCTCTTGGTACCTTCAGACAACTCTCTAAGGTTTGAAGTTGCAGAGAAGGGAAGAGGAAGGGAATACGCATCTTTTAAATGCCTACCATGTATTAAGCACTTTGCAAATATTGTCTCATTTGATCCTCAAAACAATCCAGGGAGGGAGGTGCTATAATTTGCCCTCTCCCCATTTCATAGTTAAGGAAACTGAGGCAGACAGAGGTAAAGTGCCTTTGCCTAGGATCATGTGGCCTCAGATACTTGCTAGCTGTGTGACCCTGGGCAAGTCATTTAACCTCTGTTTGCCTTTGCACAGACTATCCTTCAGATATGGAAAGCGTTCCTTTCTTACCTATTAAAATCCTTAGCTTCAGCTCAGGCTCCACCTCCTCCAGGAAGCCTTTTGTGATCCTCCAATCATTGACACACTCTTTCTCTTCTCCAGCGAGCTTGGATCTATTTATCTATTTCCATGTTGTATCTCCCAATAGCTCATTGGCTTCTCAATGACAGGGACTTTTTAGTTGTCGATTCTCACACAGTGCCTTTGCTCATAATAGTCATTTAATAAATGTTTATTGAATGGAATTGACTCTTGTAAGAAAGGGTTTGAGCAACCAAAGCTGAGACAGAAGACTAAAAAAGAAAGTTTCTCAGCCAATGAGCAAGGTAGAGCAATAGTTCTAGAGAGGAGAGCTGAGTTTTCAAGGCTGCCTCTGGGGCTCTATCCCTTCTGGTCCTTAAATGGCTCTGGTTGGGGGTGAGGGTAGGAAGAGTGAGTGAATGACAGCAGGAGAGCAACAAGAAAAAAGAAAATAAGGTTATTGGAAAAAATTTTAATGCCTAGAAGAGCACAGAAAGAAAGAGAAAAAGAATCACAGATAAATGGGACAGCTTTGAAAGTTACATGCTGAATGTATTATGTAGGCAGCTAGGTGATGCAGTAGATGGAGTGAGGTCAAGAAGACCTCAGTTCAAATTCTGCTTCAGATAATTACTAGCCTTGGGGCACTGAACAAATCATGTAACCTCTCTCAGCCTGAATTTCCTCATCTGTAAAATGGGAATAATAACAGCACCTTACTAGCACTATCTTGTTGTGAGGATCAAATGAGATAATATTATAATATATAGGTAATATGATTACATTATATAATATATAACTATAATTATGAGATTATATATTATATTATACAAACATTAAAACTCTAAGTGCTATTTCTATCTTCTCTCTCTCTCTCTCTCTCTCTCTCTCTCTCTCTCTCTCTCTCTTCTACTACGTACACAGAAATGCTAGTTTTATTTGATGAGTGCTAAGCTCAGGAAAAAAATTCTTAAAACAATAAATAAATGGTTCTACTATGCCATGCTCTTGGGACCTCCCTCTACCAAAAAGTTCCTCTAACAAGCAGACTGCGGTTGTGCTCCTCTCCCAGCCATGCAGCCAGCTCTCATGCTGCATGGGGAATGCTCCTTAGACTTTCTGTCCTGACCATTCAGCTGATCTCAGTTTTTCCCTGTTCAGTTTTTAGGGACCAGTAAAGTCCCTCTCCCAGCATTCCATAGAGAGAGCCTGGGGTTTGCACAGTTGAGTAGACTTTATCTAAGCTTCAAGGGAAGAAGCAAAGACAGCCTGGTGCTGCTTGCTTGCTTTTTTTTCTCTTTTGATTTATAGCCCCTTGGCAGCTACCTCAAAGGCAAACTGAAATAGCAAAGTCATGGGCCATATTATACCTCTCACAACTCGTCTTTCAGGTGCAAAGAACAAGAATAAAAAAAAAAAACCAACTCGGAGGTCCTCTTCCAAAGACCTTCTCCTGTCCTCCCTTTCTCTGGGAAGGGATTTTGCTGAGAGCTTTTTAGTCTTTCTTTCCCTTAAGTTTCAAAGATGATCGGTTGACCATTGTAGCAAAGTACAAAAGTTTACTGAGGTCAATACAGCTAGGACTCTTATCTGAACATATGGGGGCTTTCCATGTCACATATCCATTCCTTCTCCTGCATACTACCTTCAGGTTCTTATTCATTGGACTTGGCATTTCTTGTCATGTATCTGGAAACTGCCTCTTTTTCCTTTCCAAATGCTAATTATTCATTTTTGTGCTTTTCCCTTCTTATATTTCATTTGTTCTATAATTTCATCAATGTAAAATACATCAAAGTACTCCCACCAAAGGTATAGCCCATTCATGACACCTTATCCCACCCAGTTCATGTCCACATCCTCCTAAAAATCCTTTAGAGAGGATCTGACCAATGTGCTAGAGACCTTCTAGGTATTTAACATTTTGTAGTTAGTTACCAGTATAGTACTGTCCAACTGAGGTCCCTCACTCTGGCTACATGACCAGCTCACCTTCCTTGTTTGATCGTTTCCTGGATGATTTTCCTTATGTCAGGATGATAGGTCTCTTTTCAATGGCATTTTTTTTTCCTCCACTGGGAGCTCAAGAAATAGTTTTTCTATGTCCTAAACAGTAGAGAAGCAAGTTGTCGTGTGTTATCTATCTTGTGGATTATCTACAGCAAAGTTGGAAGTGCATTTTGTGTGTGTTCATCACCTCTTTCTCCGATTGCCACCTTGGGACTACCCTACATTGAAACAGAATTTCACATCTCCTGGTCTTGGTTCAGTTCCTTGAAACACTTTCAACAAAAGATACTTAACCCACATTCCACCTTTCTCCTCCAGAAAAGACTGTATGAACCATTCAGATAAATTTTAGAGGTGCTCAGGTTGACAGGCATCCATCTGAGAGGTGATACTGTATCTCTCCAGCAAGGAATGGGAAGCAGGACAGAAGTTAATCAGAATTCAGGATGATCCAACTGGGTAGCTTTCTGGTTCCTGAGTCAGGCTTTCATTGTGGCTTCATTATCTGTTTTGAAGTGTGGTAAATTCCCAGAGCATTAGACACACTCATGCTCATTTAAGTACAAAAATGAACTCCAAAGGTAAAAATAACTTTTTGTGTT